AATATATAGCAGCTTTTTTCACTATATCCCCTAAGTAAAAAGTCCAATGTCTCTCATCAGATGAATAAGGAAGCATATTTTGGTATATTCATGAATACCAAGTAACAATAAATAAAAAGAACAAACAGTAACTTGAATGAATCTGAGAAACATTTTGTTGAGAGAAGATGGATATAAAACTGTACATACTGAATAATCCCACTTACAAAGTTCTCGAACTAGCAAAGCTCATCTATTGTGATAGCAGTCAGAATGGTAGTTAGCCTGGGTGGGAAGAGGATATTGACTGTGCATGGAGGGGACATGAGGGAAATTTCAGTCAGAGGGGAATGTAAATCTTGATCTGAATGGTCATTACTGGGTATAGTCAAATTAAAAATTCTTTAGTTGTACGTGGAAAATTTGTACATTTGACTATATGGAAACTATAATATAAATAAATAGTAATTGTACATTGCAATCCTTGGAGAGAAAGGTAAGTGAAAACATATAGTAAAAAGATCATTGAACTAGCAATCAGAACCTGATTTTTTTAATACCAATTTTGCCACCTGCTAACTCCTGATATCTAGGCCCCAGTTTTTTTCAGTTTAGAACAGGTATCAGCAAACTACAGCCTGTAAGCCAAATGTAGCCTGAGCTAAGAATGAATTGCATTTAATGGTTGGGGGCAAAAATGTAGTCAAAAGACGAGTAATGATTCATGACATGGGAAAATTATAGAAAATCAGATTTGTGCCCATAAATAGTTCTCTTGGAACACAAACAAATTTATTCATTTCATATTGCATATGACTGCTTTTGTGCTCCAAAGGCAGAGTTTAGTAGTTTTGACAGACTGTCTGGCCTGCAAAGCCTAAAACATTTACTATCTGGCCTTTTCCTGAAAAAGTCTGTCACCTTCTATTATACATGAAGTATTTGACTTCAACATTATCTTTGGCACTAGCATTCTAGGATTTCACCTCTCAAATTCTTTGATGGTAATTTGTTCTAGAGTTTTCCACATAATGAATGCGTGCATTGAATACTTAAACTATGGCCTGTCACATGGCATATGTTCACAAATTTTAACTACCAGCATCCCATCATTATTATGAAGAAAAATATCTGCTATCTTAGGATTCTGTTAAAGATCAAAATGATCTTTTATTTGAGGAAAGAGAGAAAAGTTTATATCAAACGCTAATCATTGTGCATTGTCTCATTAGGCTCTCTATGAAAATATGCTGGTGGAGCTTCCTTTTGCTGGCTTTTTCCTCTCAAAGTTGCTGGGAACTAGTGCAGATGTGGACATTCATCATCTAGCTTCATTAGATCCTGAAGTATATAAGAATTTGCTCTTTCTTAAGAGCTATGAAGGTGATGTGGAGGAACTTGGGCTGAACTTTACTGTGGTGAATAATGATCTCGGAGAAGCACAGGTAAGGAGAAAATTTGGTGTGGGGGTGATGGTATATCTTGATTTTCATACCTTTACCAGTTTAATTATTAATTCTCAAGTTTAATTCACAAGGTAACAAGATCATTCATATTCGTATGTACAAAGTATCCATTTGTGTGTAATTATATTTTCTTTATATGTTGGTGGTTTTGCACATTTTAGTTAGAATGAAAAGCCCTTTTTTAAAGAATTATAGTCAGTTTTCACTAATAATGGATTTCATATTTGCAGATTCTCCTTTGAGAATTGCCATTGAGTCAATCCCTACTCATAGTGACCCCTTCTTGGGTTTCCAGAGATATCACTACAGAAGTAGATTGCCCAGTCTTCCTTCTAAGGAGTGGCTGGTGGTTTGAACCACCAGCCTTCTGGTTAGCAGTTAGATGCTTTAGGTACTACACCACCAAAGTTCTCACTAAAATTTATTTGTAATCCTAAATAAAGTTTTAAGACAAAGTTAATACTTTCAGCACTTCATTGTCATTTGTAGCCATGTTTCTAATCCAGTCTTTCCAAGTTCATCAGTTTTGCCTAGTTTAAAATTAACTGTGTATTAATTAAATATATACTTCAATCAAAACACCATTGAAAATTTATTAACCCACACAAGATATTTTTTAACCTGAACCTCCAGATTGCAAACACTAACATTTTTTTTGCAGGTGTTATTTTATTTATTTGTTTGTTTGTTTTTTTAATTGTAATTTGGTTGAAAGTTTACAGAGCAAATTCACTTTCCATGCAGCAGTTCATATACACTTTGTCTCATGACATTGACTACAATTTACCATAGTGCAACAGCTCCCCTCCCACTTCTTCCCCATAGTTACCTCTTCTCTGGGTCCTTCCCTCCCATGCACTCCTGCCCCCTGAGCTGTCTCCCTGTGCATACACAGCCCTTCTATTCTCCCATGGTTGATCACTCCAAGTAGTGTATCTACCTAGTATAAATGTTCAGCTTATATGCCAGTCTTTTGTTTGGCTAGAAGCCACAGGTGTGGGTTCAATTCCAGACCTGAAGGGCAGCTAGGGGCCATAGTCTCAGTGGTTCAACCAGGCTTTATCAGACCAGCAAACCTGGTCCCTTTTTTCCAAATAATTTTGAGTTTTGTTCCTCATTATTCTACTCTATCCAGGATCTCCTAGATAGATCCCTCTTCGAGTGATTGACAGGAGTAACTGGGCACCATCTAGTTATTTTGGTCTCATATTCATATAGGCTGAGGATCACATGGTGTACCAGTTGCTTGGACTAATTGTTTTCATGAATCTTTGGTTTTCTTCATTCTTCTTTGCTCTGAACGAGGAGAGACCCATCATTGTATCCAGATGGCTGCTTGCAAGCTTTTAAGATCCCAGTCACTACTCACCAAAGTAGGAGGTGGAACAATGTTTTGTGAAGTATGTTATGCCAATGGAGCTTGATGTCCCCTGCGACTGTGGTCCCAAGCCCACAGGTTCAACTACTTGGTCCCTCTGGGTAGCTGGCTGTGTCCAAGAAGTGACAAAACCTTGTCCCTTGTCAGCTCTACTATATACTTGGGAATTCTTCCAGAACATACAAATACACTTGTAGAAACATTGCCTCCCAACCCTATCCATGATCTTGGGCACACTTCCCCTCCACATAGACATAAGCACTAACATTTCATTTGGTAAATGCCCAGATTGAGTAAGTTTGCATTAATGCAGTTTTGGTTATCTTTTCATATCAAATTACCTACTTGCTTATTCATTATTTTTTCATTCATTCATGAAATATATATAGCTCTGTGTACCAGCCACTGTGCTTATGCACTGTTGTTGTTATTACTTGCAGCCAAGTCATCTAACTCATGGTGACCCTGTGTATAAGGTGAAACTGCTCCATAAGGATTTCAAAGCTGTGACCTTTCTGAAACAGATCTCCAGGCATGTCTTTTGAGGAAGCTTGGGATGGGTTTGACCCACCATCCTTTCAAATGCTTAACCTTTTGTGCCACCCAGAGATTTTAAAAAATAAGAGCACACATTCTTACTAGCAAGAGAGACTGATAGATTTATAAAAGTATGTGATATATATCGTGATAAGAGGTATTGTGGTTAACTCCAAATAGGTTAGGGAAGGCTACCTGGAAGAAACCCTTGATGAGTGATTAAGAATTCACCAAATAGGTCCTGCAAATTTGTAAGTGGGTGCAATTTAGAGTGCATGTATGAGAGCAGGTAAAATGATATACAGGGCTCTGACTTTTGCCAAGAGGTTTGGGCTTAATACAGAAGTCATTTAACCATTTAAGGATTTAGGTTTTATAAGAGTTAAAAATACATCCAGAAAGAGATAAAAAGCTTATTTTGGACACTTAAGTACTTTAGTATAAGATGTCCTAAAGAGAGATGCCTTTCAGATCTAGTAGGAAACTAAATAACAAGAAAATATTCACATGTATTGTCAGACAAAACCGAGATTTCAATTTAGTAACTCACAGTTAGGGCCTAGAAGTACCCTGAGTGTTTTCTGAGTCAGGTGGTTCCAAAATATACTGTTGAAAAGCAACTTGATGATTATAAACAATTGATTTTAGTTAGACAGATAGATCAGTATCGATCTAATCATGTTGAATGGGAGGATTTATGTAATCTTAATTATGAACTAATTATATTACATTTGAATCAGAGAAGGGTTAAGGGAAGGACATTCTTATTCTAAATTTACATGCAGTCTTCTTTCAAAAATGAATATTTCCGTATTCTTTTACAATAACTTTGAAGTCCAAGAAGACATTTGTTTGACACATTTATATTAATCTGGAATTTTCTATGCCAGGGTCTCCTCTAGAAAGAGATAGCTTCCAAGTAACCAATTATAAAATCTACTTTATGCATTTGGTTTCTTTTAGAAAAGTCCACATGAAACTCATTGACCCAACCATATGTACATGCCAAAATATAGTTTAAAATGCAGTTTCAAAAAGAATTTAGGGAGTTCCAGTAAGATGGCGGAATAGGCAGAAAGATTGCACAGACCCTCTTCAACAAAGAAAAGGGGAACCAATTAACACAGATACAGAAGATAATCTTGGACCCCTGAGCCTTGAAGTGGAGGATATAGAAGTGGACTAAACTCCATCTAGCAGAAGAATTTGCGTGAAAACACCAAAAAAGGAGACGTGAAGCTGCAGTCTGGCAGTGATCCTGGTGGCACAGACAGCTTGGATATTGCCGTGTGATGGTAGGACCTAAAAATTAACCTAAAAATCGGCCCTGCTAGCCAGGGACTGCTTGGTGGACTGCTCTGTTGGCTGGAGAATAAAAGGGGAAGCGGCAAAGACGAAGGTGAGCTGCGCTGTGGATTTTTGTCTGTCTGGAGGGCACAGCCATTTTGAATGTTTACATGCTGCGGCTTAACCACTTTGGATATTTAAAGCGATGGTGTTCTCCCAGATTCCAGGTACTTAAGAAGAGGCTCCACTTGCTGGGAATACCAAGGACATTCCACACCTGAACTACTGGAAAGGTACAACATTCCACTTGTTACTCTTAAACCCCACACTCTCTTCATGAACGGAGGTGCAGCCATCCCTCATCCCCTCCACCTTCTAAGCTGGCAGGAATTCTATCCCAGTCTGTGTGCTAGGATGGAGCCTGGGTGCCCTGCCCTGCCCCGATTTTTATTTTTTATTTTTCAGTTTGTTTCTTTTTGTCTGTTTTAAAACTACTATTTTTATAATTACTTTTGTCGTATTTACTATTATTCTTTGTTCTTCCCCTCCCAGGTTCTAGTTTTCAGCTTTTTTTCTTTTCCCTGTTCCTGGTTGCAATTTTTTTTTCTTTCTCTTCATTAACCCCATTCCTTGGGGTTTTTTGTTTTTGTTTTTGTTCTTATGTTTTTCCCATTTTTTCTTCATTATTCTCCTTTCCTACCTTTTTTCTATTATTGCCCTCTCCCCTAATATTGCAGGTTTTTTCTTTTTTTCTTCTATTTCCCTTTTTTTTTCTTTTGGTCACAGTTCTTGTGTGATTACGTGATGTATTTTTTGTCCATTTGCTTTTACTTTTGATGGTATTCAGTTGTTATTTTTGTCTGATTGGAAGACAGCAACAGTCCCCATATTACACACTACACTCACATCTCCTGCAGCTTCACTTACTAAATGAGAGCCACCACTTCCTTCTCCACCAATGAGCCATCAATAAACAACCACCAAGAAAAGTCTGACTCACCTTTGGCTGCTCTTCACATACAGTTAAAAGAGATCTAAATACAGCAACACCACAATGTCTCAGAGACAACAGACCATCACAGTCCACACAAAGAAGCAAGATAAAGTGGTAGAACAAGGGAGCAGGATACGGACCCAGAACACATCCCTGAGGAATGCACAACATTGGAACTCTCTGATAAGGAATTCAAAAGAATTATATTTAGGTATCTTCAAAGTATTGAGAGACAGACCAAGGAAAACACAGACAAAACCCTAGTAGAATTTTGGAAGAAAATGACAAAATAAATGAAAAATTAGAAATGATTCTAAATCTACAAACAGAAATTCAGAAGATTTATACTAAATTTTCAGAAATAGATAACACATTGAAAGGGCAAAGGAGTAGAATTGATGCAATGGAAGACAGAATTAATGAGATTGAAGACAAACCTGAATACTTCTTTGGAAAGGGATCAATCAGAAAAAAGATTGGGAAAAAAAAAAAAAAAAAGGGAAAGCCTGAGGTTTATGTGGGGATACCATCAAAAGGAATAACCTATGTGTCATTGGAATTCCAGAACAGGAAGAGAAAAATAAAACCACTTAGAAAATTGTCCAAGATTTGTTGGAGGAGAACTTCCCTGATATGATGAAAGATGAGAATATATCCATTCAGGAATTCCAGTGAACCCCAAACAGGATAGACCCCAAAAGAAAATTACCAAGCCATATCATCATCAAACTCATCAAAACCAAAGACAAAGAAAGAATCCTGAGAGCAGCATGGGAAAAACAG